CAAACTCGGCCCTTTATATAAGGGCGGCGGGGACGTCAGCCGGCCCTTCTGTCCGCCCAACTTACAGCCCGACGCCGAGACAAGATGCAACTGCCCGCACCACCCCGATGCTCGACTTCCTGCCGTGGCCGTCGGTGCGCGACCGCATCATCAGCATCTTCAACAATGCCCGAGGCGATGCGGCCACCCGGGGCGCGCGACGCGCTGGCGCCCATCCAGTTCGCCTACGACCTCGAGGACGAGGCCGAGGGCGTGCGCATCTGGGGCGGCGACCCGTACGACGCGACCGGGTGGGAGGTCGGCCAGACGTTCTTCGAGCGGTGGTGGTTCATCTTTGACAGGGACGTTGTGGCGCAGAGCAACCGACTCAGAGAGATTCGGGGGCGCTGCGCGGCTGCACTTGAGGGCGCCGCGGGTCGAGGAGCTGGGAGGGTAATGGAGGTCCAGATAGATGTGCTGCCATGTGTTAATGATAATGATGAATATCCACCCCCCTGATGCAAGAGTATCTACCGGGAGTATTCTTGCAGACCAGCTGCTTTCAGCTGCCAGCCGGCAACGGGACGAACCCCCACGTTAGAAGAACCCTGAAGACCAATCTGGGGGGAAGTGGGCAGGGCGGTGAGTGGCATTCTGCCGACGCGGAGGGGCAGTGACGGAGGGGTAAAATGATGCTTGGAAAGCGGGGCAGGCGGGCATCAATGATTGCACTTGCCAGTCAGTGTCACAGCGAGCCAAGGTAGACTTGCTTTGCCTGTGAGGAAACGGTAAACATGACAGGCCCCGCTCTGCTTTTCACGCTGAGAAATGAAAAGAAGCCGATTCCCCGACATCTGAGTCAGAGCAGGGCATGTGTTCGTCACGCAGATCGTGAACTCAAGGGAGCTCGGGCGATGAAGATGAGCCGTCATGTCCAAACACACCGCCTCGTCCTCGAGAGCCACATGCTCGAGTTTCGACCGGGGAACAGAAAAAAAAAAAAAGAAGCACGGGCAAATAAACGACAACCCCTCGGGCAGGCTCCAGACGTGCATCGCAGGAAGGAGAAACTCGCGGGGCAAAGAAGGGACACAGGCGGGCCAGCGGGGCAGACGTGGCTGCACGTTCAACCAATGGTCACGACGCCATATTCGGAGGCGTGGGTGGGCCGGTGTGGGCAGGTACGACCGATGTGGTATTGGCAGCATCCACACCGGCGCCGATACGCCTCTCCACCCCAACGCCTCCCCAGTAGCTGCCTCAAATTCTTACCTCACGTCGACTTGCTTGTGCCTGTGGGTCCTTCTGTCTTGTCTCCCCCCCTTGAAAACCATTCTGTTTGTTTCTAGAGCATCGCGGAGAAAGTACATCGCCGGTGCTTCAACGTCTGTTTCGAGCACCATTGGCACTTTCGTCTTGTAGATTGCCAAGTGAGTCACCACTACCGCTACCGCTGCCCGCTCTATGATGCCCTCTCACACCCCTCCTTCACCTTGGGCGCCTTTTTTTCGGGCTGCTTCACCACTCATTGCCCCCCCCCCCCTTTTGATATGAAATACCAATTGCCACCTAAACCCAGCTGTCAGTCGTGGCATTTCTGCAGAACCACATTGCTAACTCTCCCCGGCAGCCTTTTGGAACGGCCTTTTGCCGCTTCCACCTCTCCTCCACCTTGTTCCCGATAATACCTCTTCCCAAGAGTACCACCCAACCCCACCGCCACTATGCACATCAAGGAGATGCTCGCCGACGCCGAGCGCGACGGCCAGCCCTCCTTCTCTTTCGAGTACTTCCCTCCCAAGACAGCCCAGGGTGTCCAGAATCTCTACGACCGCATGGACCGCATGTACAACTTTGGCCCCAAGTTCATCGACATCACCTGGGGTGCCGGCGGTAGGATCGCCGAGCTCACCTGCGAGATGGTCACGCAGGCTCAGAGCGTCTATGGTCTCGAGACATGCATGCACCTGACCTGCACCGATATGGGCCTCGAGAAGGTCAACGACGCCCTCCGCAAGGGGTATAAAGCCGGCTGCACAAACATCCTCGCTCTCCGCGGCGACCCTCCGCGTGAAAAGGAGAAGTGGGTCGCCGCCGACGGCGGTTTCGAATATGCTCGTGACCTCGTCAAGCACATTCGTGCCACATACCACGATCACTTCGACATTGGTGTTGCTGGCTACCCCGAGGCTGCGATGACAACAAGGACGAGGAGTCTCTGCTCGACCACCTCAAGGAGAAGGTTGACATGGGTGCCACCTTTATTGTGACCCAGATGTTCTACGACGCCGACAACTTTTGTCCGCTGGGTCGGTAAGGTCCGTGAGCGTGGTATCACCATCCCCATTGTCCCTGGCATCATGCCCATTGCCACCTACGCTAGTTTCATGCGCCGTGCCAAGCACATGAACTGCAGCGTCCCCCAGGAAATTCATGCACGCTCTGGAGCCCGTCAAGACGACGATAACGCTGTTCGTGAGG